AATACATATATATATATATATATATATATATATATAATATTAGAATCATAACAATTCTTCATCATCTTCCTTCCATGCCTCATAACATTACCATATACGAAAACCATAACAAGTCTATATGCAAGCTCTTATATATATAATAATGATACTAACACAAAAAGAAAAGGAAAAAAATAATAATAATAATAATAACAAACTTGGTGGGTGTTCAAAGCCATGAATAAGTTCTGCTTTCGAGCATGTTCTGGTATCAACCTTTGCAAAGTCTCGAAAGGGATGCTTGCAAGCTCTGCATCACAAACAATCTTACAGTTTAAGTCCAAAGCACTTATACTTACCCAATCGTAACACCCTGATAAATAAAAAATAACTTATATAATAAAAACTTGTAGGGTTTGTTTGGTTGTAAAGCATGGAATAACGAAGGAACAGAATGGGCATAGAAATTAATTAATTAATAAAAAAAAATTCTATATACAATGTATAGTTTCAACCCTACTACATACATTATTTAATTATAACTAATTATGTACCTTGTGGTTTAAAATTAAAGAGTGGAGGAAGTGGACGACCATTAGGAAGACGGGTGTGTTGGTTAATTGATTCAAAATAATCACTGGCATGTGTCTTTAATTACTGCATTAATAGAGTCTTAAAAGCTGTTTTTCAGTTACAAAAGTCAAGAGTCCTAGTCTGTCTTTTTATCTTTCTTTCAGTTCATGTTTTTGTTTCCTATTTAAGCTCTGTAATTTCTCAGTTTTAAAAAGCAGTGAAATATTATCCATTTTTCCTCTTCTTCTATTTACAAACAACATTGGTATCAGAGCAGTTCCAGGTTCTGATCCGCTTCTTTCTTTATCAAGCAAAAGAAAGGAGTAACTGAGTGAAACACCTAAGAGAGATAGCAATGGCAAGCAACAACAACAGTTCTGCAACTCAGCCTCTGATTCCAGTCTTCAAAGGAGAAAAGTATCATTTGTGGAGTCTAAAAATGAAGACTTTGTTCAAATCCCAGGAGCTTTGGGAATTGGTGGAGAATGGATACATAGAGCCAACTCCAGCACCGGCTCAACCAGATCAACCGTTGCGGGACACTCGTAAGAAGGATGCAAAGGCTCTTCTATACATTCAATCGGCGTTGGATGATGAAATATTTCCTCGTATTGCTGCAGCATCAACATCCACGGAGGCATGGGAAATTTTGAAGCAAGAATATATGGGTGATAAAAAAGGTAATCACTATGAAACTTCAATCACTTCGTCGTGAATTTGAAACTTTGGTTATGAAAGAAAAGGAATCTGTGCAAGTATTTCTTTCTAGAGTATCTGGACTTGTCAGTCACATGAAAACTTATGGTGAAAATGTTAGTGAAGAAACAATAGTAAGCAAAGTCCTACGAAGCCTGACCAAGGAATTTAATCATGTTGTTGTTGCGATTGAAGAATCTAAGGACCTATCAACTTACACGTTTGATGAGTTGATGAGTTCTTTGATTGCACACGAAGAAAGATTAAACAGGGGCAGCGAAAAAGGTGATGAGAAAGCATTCCAAGTAAGAGGCAATTCTTTTAAAGGCAGACCAGAAAAATCTGGTGGTTCTTCCGGTGGTCGTGGGCAAGGAAGAGGCACTTTTCGAGATCATGGTCGTGGAAGAGGAAGAGGAAACTTTGCAGATCAACGTTACCAAAAGAGCAACCTGCAATGTCGGTATTGTAATAGATCTGGACATGTTGAAGCTTATTGTTGGACCAAGCAAAAAGATGAAAATAAAGCTAACTTTACTGAAAAGGTGGAAGAAGAAGGTAGGCTATTTATGACTATGTTTACAACTACTAATGTTTCAGATCGTGTGTGGTATATAGACAGTGGATGTTCGAATCACATGTCTGGTTCAAGATCTTCATTTCGAGATCTTGATGAAACAAAGAAAAGTGAAGTCCGACTTGGGAATGACCGAAAGATTGAAGTTAAAGGCGAAGGTACAATCACTATTGAAACCATGCAAGGTAATACTAAAGTTCTTCATGATGTTCAATTTGTACCAAGTTTAGCATACAACTTACTGAGTGTTGGACAGCTAATGAGAAGTGGACATCGTGTAGTATTTGATGATGACACGTGTTCCATAATTAACAAGAAATCTGGGCAGCCTATGGTAATTGTCCAAATGACTCAAAATCAAGTGTTCCCTCTCGATGTTACAAAATATTATAAAGCCTTAACGGTTAGTTGTGATAATGAGGCCAGGCTTTGGCATCTACGATATGGGCATTTGAATGTAAATGGGCTGAGATTGCTAAGTAGAAAGGAGATGGTTTTCGGGCTGGCAAATATTGGTGAAGTTGGTTTTTGTGAAGGGTGTGTTTATGGAAAACAAAGCAAAAAGTCGTTTCCCGTTGCAAGTTCTTGGAGAGCTTCAGATTGCCTAGAACTTGTACATGCTGACTTGTGTGGTCCTATGAAAGCTGAGACATTTGGCGGAAGTCGGTATTTTTTCCTGCTTACTGATGATTTCAGTCGTATGAGTTGGGTTTATTTCCTAAAACTCAAGTCAGAAGCCTTTGAGTGTTTCAAGAATTTCAAAGCACTTGTGGAGAAACAGAGTGGTAGGAACATCAAGGCTCTCAGAACTGATCGTGGTGGCGAGTTTTTATCTAATGAGTTTAATGATTTTTGTGATAAAAATAGCATTTACAGGCAATTAACAGCACCTGAAACACCCCAACAAAACGGGGTAGCAGAGAGGAAAAATAGAACAATGGAAGAAATGGCAAGAAGCATGCTGAAAGCGAAGGGACTGTTTGATCAGTTTTGGGGAGAGGCTGTTGCAACTGCCGTGTATATTCTAAATATCTCTCCAACTAGAGCTGTTATGAATCGCACACCATATGAAGCTTGGACAAGTAGAAAACCCACTGTAAGTCACTTAAAAGTCTTTGGTTGTGTAGCATATGCTTTGGTAAATTCTCGTTCAAAACTTGATGAAAAATCTCTAAAATGTATTTTCATTGGGTATAGTCCTCAATCCAAAGCATATCGTTTATATAACCCTCTTAGTGGCAAAGTGATAATAAGCAGGAATGTTGAGTTTAACGAAGAAGCAAGGTGGATACCTAATACCCAAAAAGAAAGAGATCAGGTTATAAACTTTGAAGATGTACCATCCACAAGTTCAGGAGATAATGCAGAAATACCCCAGGGCGATCAAGGTTCTTCAAGTTCAAATTCAGATAATGACAATTCATCAAATAATCCACCACCGAGAGACACTTATGATGATACACCGAAGAAGTTCAAATCTGTGGCTGATGTTTACAACTCCTGTACATTTGCCTTGTATGCAACAGATCCAACCGATTATGAAGAAGCTGTTCAGCAACCTGAGTGGCAGAAAGCTATGAAAGAAGAAATACAAGCCATTGAAAGAAACTCAACATGGGAGTTGGTTGATGTTCCAAAAGACAAGAATGTTGTAGGACTTAAATGAGTATATCGAACAAAGTATAATGCTGATGGAAGTCTTCAAAAACACAAATCTCGTCTTGTTGCGAAAGGATATTCACAAGAATACGGTATAGACTATGAGGAAACCTTTTCCCCTGTGGCTAGATTCGAGACAGTTAGAATAATTATAGCATTGGCTGCACAATTTCAACTACCTGTTTTTCAATTTGATGTGAAGTCCGCCTTCTTGAATGGTGAGTTAAGTGAAGAAGTGTATATAGCTCAACCTCAAGGATTTGTTGTTAAAGATGCTGAAAATAAAGCCTACAAGTTGTGAAAGGCTTTGTACGGTTTGAAGCAGGCTCCACGTGCATGGTATAGTAAGATTGATTCTTTCTTTCAAGAAAACGGATTCAAAAGAAGTGAGAATGAGCCCACTCTTTACCTTAAGCAACAAGGTAATCGAGAATTCTTGTTAGTCTGTCTTTACGTGGATGATATCATCTATATGGGAACATCTAAGTCCTTAATTGATGATTTTAAATCTTGCATGATGAGCACATTTGAGATGACAGATTTAGGGTTGTTAAAATATTTTCTTGGGCTTGAAGTACTGCAAAGAAAAGATGGAATTTTTGTATGTCAAAAGAAGTATGCTACGGACCTGCTCAAAAAGTTCAATGTGACTGGTGGTAAAGTATCAACAACACCAATGAACATCAATGAGAAGCTACAACATGAAGATGGATCCGATAAAACAAACTCAAGTGTGTTTAGAAGTCTAGTTGGTGGTCTGAACTACCTGACACATAGTAGACCGGACATTTCTTTTCCTGTTAGTGTAGTATCAAGGTTTCTTCACAGTCCTACAAAATTGCATCTTCGTGCAGCCAAGAGGATTCTTCATTATGTAGCAGATACCAAGAATTATGGCATCTGGTATTCAAGAGTTTCTGAATTTAGGCTGGTTGGCTTCAGCGATAGTGATTGGGCTGGGTGCGTAGATGATCGCAAAAGCACATCAGGCAATGTTTTCAGCTTTGGTTCCGGAGCTATAACATGGAGTTCTAAGAAGCAAGATACAGTGGCTCTATCGTCATCAGAAGCTGAGTACATAGCAGCAAACGCAGCAGCTCAACAAGCCTTATGGCTGCGAAAAGTTCTTGTTGATTTGTGTGTTGAGCAAGAAGATGCAACAGAGGTATTTTGTGACAACAGATCAACCATTGCAATGGCCAAGAACCCTGCTTCCCATGCTCGTACGAAGCATATAGATGTGCATTACCATTTTATTCGCAAGTTGATCACTGATAGAAAGATTAAACTGAGTTTTTGTGGAACAAATGAGCAGACAGCAGATATATTCACTAAATCTCTTCCTCAAGCCAAACATGAGTTCTTTAGAATGTAGCTCGGAGTATGCAACTTTGAATCAAGGGGGAGTGTTGGTTAATTGATTCAAAATAATCACTGTCATGTGTCTTTAATTACTGCATTAATAGAGTCTTAAAAGCTGTTTTTCAGTTACAAAAGTCAAGAGTCCTAGTCTGTCTTTTTATCTTTCTTTCAGTTCATGTTTTTGTTTCCTATTTAAGCTCTGTAATTTCTCAGTTTTAAAAAGCAGTGAAATATTATCCATTTTTCCTCTTCTTCTATTTACAAACAACAGGGTGGTTGGGTCCCTCAATTCATCAAAGAAGGGATGAACACAAGCTTCCAACTGCAATTTTATTTTATAAATAAATAAAAAATCTATTTTTTTTTAATTACTACTTTACGACTGAATTTATAGTAAAAAAGGTTATGAGTTATAAATTACCGCAGTGCAGCGCAAATTGGGTGAATATTGAAAAAACCTACAAACTAAATCCACTGCTTCTGGAGGTAAACGCTTTTGAAAGACCTGAAAAATAAAACAATATTCTAATTAGGTTGACTTTAACATAATCTAATTAATAATTATTTACCATAGTATGAGTTACATTTTTACTCCATGAAACATTGCTGATTTTTTCAATATTAGTCCCTATAAGTTCTCTTGCAAATTTGGGTCTTATTAGTTATTACAGGTTCATGTGATGTTATTGGTCCCTCTTCCACATAAAATGACTATTTTCAATCCTTGGGTATAATTAATTTTTGCAATTTTGGTCTAAAAAATATAGTCATTTTACTTGGAACAGAGACCATAAACGTTACAAAATCATCAAATAATGATCAAAATTGCAAAAAAAACAACTTTTTGGGATCAAGAATGAAAAAATCAGCTAAGCTCAGAGACCACAAATGAAATTTACTCTTTAATAATTATACTTACAATACATCTTTTTTTTTTCAATAAATAAATAACTAAACAATACTAAAGTAAATCACATTTTTGGTGCTTGAATATAGTTGATTTTTTTTCAATTTGGATCCCTAAAAGTTTTCTCGTGTAATTTTGGTCCTTGTTCCGAGTAAAATTACTATTTTTTTGGAACTAAAGTTGCAAAAACAGCTATACTTAGGGACCAAAAATAATCATTTTACTTGAAACACGGATTAAAAGCATTACAAGAGCCTGTTAAAAAGGACCACAACTGTGAGAAAAAAAATTTAGAACCAAAATTGCAGAAACCAGCTATACTCAGGGACCAGAAAGGTAATTTACTCATAATATTATTTTTTTAACTAAAAGAACAAGTCAAATAAAATTTATGATTTAAAATAATTTATCCAATAATAAATCTATATGTTTTGTCCTTTCGTTTCTTTGAATCTTCAAAATTATCACTTTTGAGATTCTCTCTCCCCATATTTATTGAAGTATTATATTTAGAATTTTATATATATATATATATATATATATATATATATATATATATATATATATATATATATATATATATAATTTATTGATGATACAATGCATACCTTGTGCCATGGATGAGGTTTTATTTGAGGAAACCTAAATTTAGTATAATTTGGATTCATGCATTTTATCTCCTCTCTTGTAGGAGTTTCCAGAACCTGTATAACAATTATACTATTTAAAGTCGATAGAAAATAAATCAAAAATACAATTAAGCTTAAAAAAACGTGTGTTAACAGTTGATTTAGCTTACCTTAATGATCTCCACTAGTTGATCAACACCACTTTCTCCTGGGAACAATGGCTGCATATCAAAATTACTATGAGAATAATCAATTATTTGTCATTCTTTATGTAATCATACTCTTTGCAACTGGTAAGTTCGCTATTTTGTCATTTAAAAAAAACAAAAAAAAAACAAAAAACAAAACTTAAACTTTTATCGTTTTTTATGAAAAATTTATGAAGCTTCAATGGATTTTATATTTTTGAAAATATACTATCAAGGGAAAATTTACAAAAATATAAAAGCTAAGTACCTATCCAAGTAGTAGTTCAGCCATGACACAACCTGTTGACCAAATATCAATAGTTGGTGTATATTCAGTGGCACCAAATATAAGCTCTGGTGCACGATAGTATCTTGAACAGATATATGAAACATTAGGCTCTCCTTTTACCTATAAAAACAAATTAAAGAATATAAATTAACAAATTAAAACTAACATGAACATGTTTATGTAACTTACCAGAACTTTAGCACTTCCAAAGTCACATAGTTTAAGCTGGTGTGTGTGTGGATTCACCTGAAATAAGGAACCATACAAGAATGGAAATTTTTTGAGTTTTTTAATTGTTTCTTGAAGTGTGTAAAAGCGAGACGACTATAGTATGAAAGCTTTTATATAATCTAACAATCTTAATATTACACAAAAGAATCTTACTAGCAGATTTTGAGGCTTGATGTCACGATGACAGATCCCAATGCAATTATGAATATAAACAAGTGCTCTGCATATCTGCAAACAAAAGCGAGTATTTTTTTTAACTTAATGCAAAAAGAACAGCTTAACAAAGAAAGTCAGGGAAATGAGGATTTCCCCATTAAGTCCTAATATCTTACAAAGTTGCCTTTATTTAACTTTCTTCTTCCATTTCATCAAGTCTGTCATCATTTTCTCAAATATTTTTAAACATCATTTATCCAAACAACACTTATGGGATGTTTCTTTCTTTTCCCATTAAGTTATGTATGAGTATGTATGGATTAAGTATTGTATACATCAAATTTAACCTGAGAGAAGTTGGGAGGAAAAAAGAAAAGAAATGAGAAAAATAACTTATTGTCTTAAGACACTGGTTAGGTTTCTTGGCTTAACTCATTAAGTCATTCTATCTAGATTGAGTGTTTAAACCAGTAAGCCCATTAAGACAAAAAAAAAAGCCCTTTAATGAGAACAAAGAAGAAACATGCACATGCCTGATAGGTGTATAACTTGACATATATCAAGGGCATTCGTTGGTTCATTCTAGTGTAATGCCTAGCACTTCTGCTAATTGTTTCAGGAACAAAATCAAGAACAAGACTGAGGTATAGCTCTTCTTTATCAGTTGTTGAAAAGAAAGAATGCTAGCTTTAAGGCCACAACATTAGGGTGATCCAACATTTGCATGATTTGTAGCTCCCTGTTCTTATATCTCTTATCTTGAAGAACTTTCTTTATAGCAACAATCTCTCCAGTTTCTCTGCATTTTGCCTTCGCCAAAAACAAAATCAGAAAAGGAAAAAAGAAAAAAGAAAAATCACACTAAGAATCTATATTTTAAAACAATGACTCAACAAAATCGTCAACTTACTTGGAAAACAACACCAAAAGAGCCAGTTCCAATCACATGCTCAGCTATGTAACTGACAGTCTGACAACACAAGATCAAAGAAAGGGTATTTATGTAATTTGATCCATTGCCATGAAAAAGGCTAATTCTTGAAAAAAATCAATATTGCCAACCTGTTTAGACTGACCATTGCGACCACCTATTGTTGTTCTTATCACATGCCCTGCTTCAGCACCCACACCATGTACTATCTTTGGTTCACTATCCTGCAATATAAATCCAACACGAACAGGTTATCAATAAATGAAGACATATAAGAATTTTATGAAAGATGTATAAGAAAGTTTATGGTAAGGGAAAAAGGAACTTACACTCACTCTTTCATCATCATGTTCCACCTTGTCCCTGAGTCGCATCTCAAGCATCTCCCTCCCCAGCCAGTCAATTGAACTAGATGAATCATTGAAGCCAGTAACAGCTCTGGAACTGCCAACTCCGCCATGTCCAAGGCTGGCAGAAGCCATTTTACACCGGATGAGTAGCAGCAAAGGTGGCAACGACTGCTACACTCCATATACACTTACGGAAACTGCCAAATAATTCCACGCAAAAACCTATGTTCGTGATAAAAATTAATCAAATGAGGTAGAATTTTCAATATCAGTCAGATCTAAGTCGAAATCACTCCAAATTTAATCTAAACACGATCATAAAAAGCGAATTAAAATATTAAATGATGAAGTGTTGTTAAACGCATAATAATACCGACTAAGAATAACTCAAATCAATTAAAACCAACACCAAAACAAAAAAAAAACATTGCTCACCTCGACGAATTTGGTAAAATTACCCGACCAGAGCCTGTGCATTTCACAATCAATCAACTGACAGACGACCGAGGATGAGCAGATGGTTGATCTGATTGCTTTTTTTTTCTGGTTTTTAGGACAATTTATGTGAAATATTTGTGTCTTGCAGTTATCTAACTGGGGGTTTCTCTCTCTCCATGAGAATGAGAATGAGAGATAGAGAAGTTTTCGGCTTTTTGATCTTTTGGATACTACACACACTATTCACTTTGCAAGTGATGAGAGAGAAATAGAGAAAGAGAGAGATGAGGGCTTTTGGGTTTCTGACAAGTTGGTGACAGAGTTTGTTTTCATTTCACCGTTCACGACTTCAATCTTTTTTATTTTGATCTTGATTTGATGTCAAAACTTAAAAGTAGTGTCACACCCAAGTCCCACCCTTTATTTTTATTTCTTTTACCAAATTTATAAAACAAGATAAAAAAAACATTGTAGATCTCGTTAAAAAATGTCATTCATATAAATCAAGATAAAAAAATGGTCTCTACCAATATAACAAAACCAACATCAAATATAGATCTCGTTAAAAATTAGCATGTTTATACCATTTATATTGGTCAATTACTCAATCGTCTTCATGATACTAATTGTTAATATGTTAATATAGGTATAATCAAGTATTTTAGTTATGTATCATAACAGTGGCGAATCTAGAACCAAAATCAACATGGTTCCTTATATAAATGAAATGGAAAAAAGTATGAAAATATAGGGTTTTTGGAAAAAATAAGGTAGTTCTTTATGTTTTTTTATATAGAATTGTTCTATTAAAAATGAAAAAAGGTAGGTCCTAGGACCCACCTTCACATAGTGTAGCTACGCCCCTTATTGAAATATGTATAATTACATTAAGTGCATCATAATGCATGGTTGGAAGATTTTAACAAGATAACAAACCTAATTGTTATTTAATAGATAAAATGTTATCCTTATGAGATGTCATATAAACATTCAATGAATTTAGAATATTGACATTAATATCTTCAATATGAAAAAGGAAAATTCTTTAATTCTTAGATAATGTTTAAAGTGTATTTCATTGAACCTGATAAAGTTTTTTTTTTTTTTTTGAAATGTCAAATCTAATCAACTCTTAAACTACTCCTTAAATCCACTTATGTTCACAACGGGACATGAACATTCAACCTCAAAGAGGGAGAGCAACATTAGATACCACTGGGCTACAAGCCCTTTGGTACCTAATAAAGTTTAATGCATTGTTATTGAATGGCAATGTGATAGTTTATTGAATCCTATAGAATTCAATGCATTATGAAATATAGATGTCCTAGATGTTACAAAATGTTATAAATTTGAGTTACACCTAAAAACCTCAATTATTGTTCATATTACCACTTTCCCAATAACACCTAACATATCCCACCATCATCATTTACCATCATGATTTGTCTGCTATCATCGTTGTTCTCCACCATCCTCTGAAGAACACATACACACACATACACAATCTCTCTTTCTCTCTTCTTTTACGGTTCTACCACTTCATCATTCCCCACCACTATTCGCTGCTAACCACCTCCATTTCCCCCACCCCACGTCTCCTTCCTTAACCTGATAACCGTTCACCACTAACCACCAAACCACTTTTCATCGGATTTTTTTTATGGAAAACCATACCAAATACCTCTCACTCCCAGATCTTACTGGAAAAATCAAATCAAAAGCTTCGTCGAGCTCCACCATCTTTTCAACATCCACAAAGACCTGAAACGACGGAAAATCGATGGATTTAAAAGAAGATGACTTTGATTTGAAGGGTTCAACACATCTCTCTTCTTCCTCGGGTATGAATTTGTAGATCAACATGTTTAAAGAATAGATATGGTACATTGGTCTCATTTGCATATCTAGAAACGAACTTATGGCCTTACGATGATGCTATCGGAGATGACGAATGAGCGGTGGGAGGTGGCTCACATCGTTGGATTATTAACTCAAAGTCTACTTCATGATTTATCAAGTAAGGATCAGCCATGCAGGACATTTGGGAGGCAGGACCATTTCGGCATATAGTTTTTCTGAAATCCAACAACCAAACCCAACATGACCATTCTAGACACCTCTCCCGTAAGTAGTTCAATCAGTATAACGTCTTTGAATTACTAATAAATCTTATTATAGGTTCATAATAACGATATTATATTTATATATAAGCTATATTTAAAGTATGGTAGGCTTATCTTACTTACAACGAGTTTTTATTAAAAATTGGGCTTCGCTGAAGCAGCGTTTCCGAGCTGAAATGCTCTTTTTCTCGGAGCTTTCGGGTGCTCCGGGGCTTTCTTCAAGCGATAGGTGGGTTCCCTAGGGCTTGGAGGGGAGTTAGAGAGTGTGTAGAGAGAGAAAGAAGAGGGTAACAGTGTGAGGAATGAAGGCACCTTCGCACCTCTATTTATAGTTGAAATATGGCTCAACTCATCGAGTTAGTGCCACATGTCACCATTATGGTGGCAAAACGTGGGTAGCATATATTGCACCATGTCACCCCTTTTGCAGCAACACGCTGCCGACTTCTAAATCTTGTAACTTTCACATACGAGCTCCATTTTCGACGTTCTACAACTTTCATTTTGACTCTATCGGCTAATTCTAGACCAATTTTAAATTTAACAGTATGAGCAGATTATACTATTAAATGACTGCGTAAAATTCATAACTTCTACATACGGACTCCGTTTTCGTATGTCATTTTATTGTTGAGCTCCTATTAATGAGATCTTCAATTCTCATTTACGTTGCGTTGACAAAAAATCGATCGATCTAAAATTCAAATTTCGGGTTGTGTACTCTTATGCCAAATCTTAGAAACATCATAATTTCCTCATACGACGTCAGATTTGGGCGTTCTTTTTATGTATGTTCTTGGTTTAACGTATACTAAAACTTTCATTTAGATCTCTAAGGCTAAAAAGTAATTTATCAAAAAAATCACTTTTTACAATTCCCGATGTTGTGCCGGTTTTGCCGTAAAACTTCGATAGGTCATAACTTCTTCGTTATAACTCGGATTTCGACGTTCTTTATATATCCGAAATCCTTGTTTCAACCACTACAACTTTATGTATAGATATTGGGTTTATCTAACACTTTATTTTTTACTCTTATTTTTATTATGTCTTTATAAACCAATATATAAGCACATAAAATCACATAATTCCCATAATATTCAACCAATTCATCTTTATTACTTTAAAATAGGTTACAATGGTTGACCTTGACTATTACATCATTATATTAATGTGTAGCCCAGAAACACGGGGGTTACAATTCACTCCCTCTTAGGATGATTCCGTCCCGGAATCATGCATCAACAAACAAATGTGGGTAGCAAATCATCATGTCACTCTCTATTTCCCAGGTGAGATTTGGCTCATTCGTATGTTTCCAGTGCACAAGCACTAAGTCGACCATCCTTAACTCTGAAATTGGAATTATATCGGGCTCTTCGATTAGCCTCTTATTTTCATCCATCCTTAACTCTGAAATTGGAATTATATTGGGAACCTCTCCCTTGAACTTCCTCAAATAACACACATGGAAAGTGTTATGAATACCATCTAGTTCTTCGGGTAATTCGAGCTTGTAAGCTTGATTCCCAATCTTCTGAAGAACTTTGAATGGTCCTATAAATGTCACACCCTCGAACCAGAAGGCGGAAACGTCCGAGGCCTCACGTGACTTAAATTGAATATCATCACAATGAATATACATGAATCATAACATAAACGTCACCATGCATCAATATATTACAACTGGAATTGTTCACATCAAGTACATTGTTTTAACATTACACATTCATAACATAAATTGCTTGAGTGCTTCTTGAGTGCTTTTAACAACATAACATCTAACATTGCTTCATATTACTCTTCTGCTTACCTGTTACCTAAGAATACAAGTTATTTTGGAAAAACATCAACATATGAAATGTTGATGAGTTCATAAGCAATGTTGTGATAAATGATTTGTGTAGTTTGTAAAACCCAGAGAATCCGATATTTTCTTAAAAGACTTTTGTTTATCAAATTGTGAAGATCCATAAGTTGATGCATGAGTGATTTCAAAAACACACACACACACACACACATATATAATATATATATATATATATATATAAAGGGTATTTTGTATTATAGTTATTAAATTTCGAACGAGTAATATTGAATTCCCCGGAAAACTCGATGTTTTCCGATTGTTGAAATGTATTCGTGATTACTGATTTTTGTATTGTCTTAACGAATGAATATTGATTAATCCACATTGTATATCGTCCTAATTTTGTCTACTTTGATTTCTCGTAAGCCTTAACGAATGAAGAGAAGGGGAGTATTATGTTCCACTACTATCGTAAGTACCTTGGGCCATCGTGGATGCGAAAAACACAATGGTCCAACTCGCATGTGATTATTGTGACCTTACTAGCTTTTCTAACGGGACACTTTGGCCCACTAGCACATAAAAGCTATTGAAAGTCCTTTTATAAAATATTGGGTCATTGAAGGCCCAATAACATATAAGCGTTATCCCTTTGGGCCCAAAGATCATGTTGGTGGGCTTGCAAGACCCAACAAGCATGATTTGAAACTCATAAGCCCAAAGTTTATAGATTTACTCATTGTAGTCATCACGTATCT